AAAAAAAAAAAAAAAAAGAAAGAAAGAAAGAAAGAAAGAAAGAAAGAAAGAAAGAAAGAAAGAAAAAATTTCTGAACTTGATGTAGAAGATATATAGAAAGATAATAAATTTTTTCTGACATGAATAAAATCATTTATGATTATACTTTAGTCACTAAAACTATTTTAAGTACTCCTATAATTAAAAAAATAACCATTGAAAATTTAGACTGTTAACATTAAGGAAGTGACTGAAGATATTAATAGCACTCTTTCTTTGCAAAAGAATATTGGTATTAAGGAAATTTAAACCATAGACTTGTTTGAGAATGGGCCATCTATGTAAAATGTAATTAAATCTTAAATGATAAATGCAGATGTAGGTCAGTTTAAAAATATGAATAAAGAAATCTAACATAATAAATATCTCTACTTTCTTGTAATAAAGCTTTACTCTTCTCAATGTTTACAGTATTGCAATTCATAAACTTTTTCCAAGTGTTGTACAACCATCACCGAATTTATTTATCTAGAAAATAGATGAATGAGATGTTATAAGCTCAGATGTAATGCATGAAGACTGGTGACTAACAGTAAAAAATATTCAACCTAAATTATATCCTTTTAATGAATCTATATTTTATAATTATTTCATAAAAAAGTTCTCCTTAGAAGAATTTGCATAAATCTCTCATTCTCAAATAAGTCTATGGCTTAAATTTCCTTAATACCAGTATCCTTTTCCAAAGAGTTTTATTAACATCATCAGTCACAAATCTAAAGTTGTAATGATTATTATTAATCATTATGTAGGAATACTCAAAATTGCAGAAGTACTCAAAATGTTTTTAGTGGCGACAATATAATCTTAAATAATTTCACTCATTCCAAAAAAATGTCTTCATTAGATTTCTACTAGTTATCTTCTTTTTTCTGTATGAATACTGAAGTCAAACTCTAACTTAGACTTGACCTTTAACTCTTAACTATCTATTTAATTACTTAAAACACACATTATGCTTTTAATCCTACATTTGCTAGTCCTCATCTAATACCTTCATTTATTTCACTGAGCAATAGAGTGACACTGCAAAAGGATACAGACTGTGGAGTCAGAGGACTAAGGCTTGAAAACTGCAAACTCTTAAGGTGCAAGTTTAATTTCAGTTTCTCAGGATAAAAATGGCAAGATTGACACTACCTACTTCACATACGACTGGGTAGACTAAATGAGATTGTATTTAAAAGGACTGTTATTAATTGTTACTCCTGTCTCAACTGTACTAATGCTTTGTCTACAGGATATAAGGTTATTGACTTATAACGATCTACATAAAGACTGATAGAACAACAGCAGCAAAGATGTTGACCAGGAGCAGTAGCTCATGACTGTATTCCCAATTCTCTGGGAGGCCAAGGCAGTAGGATCACTCAAGGCTAGGAGTTGGAGAACAGCCTGGGCAACATAGTAAGATCCTGTCTCTACAAAATAATAATAATAATAAACCCAGGTTTAATGGTGCATGCCTGTAGTCTTGGTTACTCAGGAGACTAAGGTGGGGGAATGGCTTGAGCCCAGGAGTTTAAGGCTGCAGTGAGCTATGATCACACGACTGCACTCCAGCATGGGTGAAGAGTGAGATCTGCCACCTCATCACTTTAAAATAGAAAGAACATGCTTTGGTGTTTTTCATCAAAACTCTTCTCTAACTTTCAAACTAATATGATATATACTATTTCAGGCTATCTAGTAAAAACAATTAATTCTTGATTTGAAAAGAAGTCGGTAGTGAAGCTACAATATGATTTGTTTGAATTTCTTTTTTTTTTTTTTTTTTTTTTTTTTTTTAGACAGAGCCTCAAGCTGTCCCCCTGGGCAGAGTGCCGTGGCATTATAGCTCACAGCAACCTCCAACTCCTGGGCTCAAGCGAGTCTCCTGCCTCAGCCTCCCAAGTAGCTGGGACCACAGGCGCCCGCCACAATGCCTGGCTATTTTTTGGTTGCAGCCATCATTGTTGTTTGGCGGGCCCGGGCTGGGGATTCGAACCCGCCACCTTAGGTGTATGTGGCTGGCGCCTTAGCCGGTTGAGCTATAGGCGCCGAGCCTGAATTTCTTATAAAAAAATTCTCATGGATAAAATAATGAAACATAATCTAATTGACAGTGGTGTAAAGAGGCATTTGTAGATGGCACAAAAACTATTACCAAAATTCCTGACCTATTAATTATTGCTAACTTTGGGCAAAAGCTCTCAGTAACAACTATCACTGTAACTTTTTGAGTGTAGAGGCTATGAAAAATAAGTTAGATTATTAAAAATAAGTTATGTAAATTAGAGGAAAAAATTGAAATCTCAAAATCATGTAATGATGGTTTATAAGTAAAATGCAAAAAAACCAATAAATGTCTCCTTATTGAAAATACTGAATGAACTGAATAAATAACAATTGATGTAAAATCCTCCAGATACGTCATACTGGGGAGTTTGACAGTATAACATGGTAGATAAATATAGTAGAAGTCTACCTCCAGCAGTTACTAGGTGTGTGGTACTGGGCACATAAACCACTCTAAGCTCCATTCTCTTCCACATTAACATGAGATCCATAATGGTCTACACCATTGTACACACAGGATTGTTATGAGATAGAATGCTGCTATGAGATGAAACATTGTTATAAGACTTTTATAAACAGAATATTGTTACAAAGATAAAAGGCGACAACATATAAAGTATTTATAACACTATCTGGAATATTGTACATGGTCAATACTTTTTAGCTATTCTTAGTATTGCTATGGCTCCCAAAAGTGCTAATGTAGTCTGGGTCTACAATGCCCAGGTCCAAAGAAGCAATGATCCTTGTATGCTGTGCCGTTATTACACCTCATAAATGAAACTGAATGTGCAGGTTTAGTTACCATATTTCAAGAATAAAGACAAACAACATTATTTCCATAAGAGAATAGTTAAGATGACAGATCTGGAAAATAGGTCATAGGAGGAAAGGCTAAAAGGGCTAAGAAACTAGAATGGAGAAATGAGAAAAAATTATAAATTTAAAAAATTTGAAGATATGTGGTAAGAAAACAAAACGGAACTTCCATAGATCTCAAAACCCCACGTTAAGACCCAGAAGAGGAAGAAATGCCTGATTGTTGCTCTGAGCTCCAGTTTCTGATCACTCATGCCTTCACGTGACGAGGCATCATCGGACACGATCACCATCACACCATCATCTGCCAAAGGTTTAGTGGGGAGAAGCAGGAAGCTGGATTTGACTGACTGAGATTTCACTGTTGTTTTTCTAAATCTAAAACTTTATGAATTTGTAAGAACTATTTCCCCTTTGGTTGATACAGCTAAATCGCTTGTCTAGAATCCAAGGGCTACAAAGTCTTGTCTTTACCACCATTTCTTCATCGACACTACCCATTCACTTACACCTTACACCATTCTCTGCCCTAAGCAAACTATTTCACAAATAATTTGAAAATTCACAATTCTTGATACATCCTGATAAAAAATGAATTACCTGTCAGGATGTTACTTAGCATTTGTAGCTACTTATCTATGAAAGTAAAAATTTTCAACTCTTACAAAACCTTCTGTTGTTACTCAGTGTTTCCCACTGATTAACTATTCCATCTACACCCAAACAGTCTTACCTAGGAGTCTGAATACCTACTGTGGGTATCCATTTAGGGTATATAAATATATTAAAATACATACAAACGTAGGTATATATTTATACTTTCCTCCTCCTGTGTTAAGCATTTAAATTTGCTTATGTAAATTTTCAAAAACATACTAGCTACAAAAATAGCTACTGATCCAAACTATCCATGTGCTACTCTCTTCTTCCTGTAAACCTGCTATCCATACGGACAGAGACCTAGAACCCTCTACTCTACATTCCCTTTTATCAGTGTCACTTTTTAAAATCTCAAGAATATTTTTCCATCCTTTCCATGAAATTTCAAATTTCTATCCAACAACTGTAAGCCTATAAACCACAAGGAAGAAGATAATTCCTTTATACCACACATAATCTATAA